TTCAGAGAGTGTCAGAGCTACATCTATGTCCAATGGATCACTTGGCGTATCTCTTGCTCTGGATAGATGATAGCATGCCTGGAAAAGTCATCGATATGAAGATACGAAGGAAATTCCTACGTCGAAGAAACCTTGGTGAAAATGTACCTGATTACATAGATCTAAGTGTTCTAGAATAAGATTCTCTTTGTAACAACAATCTACTTTTCCTTGTAAATCCTTTTTCTATATCTTCTTTCATTGAGTGTATTTACATTCTGTAAATTCTGAACATGTACTGTAATACTTGTATTATTTCCATTGATTAATAAAATGAGTATTCCATGTACTTCACTGAAAAAGATCCCTGAAAAAAGTAATAGGGACACAAGTCTATGAGTTCCAATGTTACTTTCATCATTCACTGACAATCTATAAGTCAATGAATAAGCTTTCAGTTTCAGTCCTTGTAATTTTCTTAGATATAACTTAAGAAAACTTCTGAAGCTGAGAGACCAAAATGAAAAAGATCCCAAAATAGTAAAAAGGGACATGTACTTTATATGTAACTTTTCCTTACTATTTATATTTAACTTTTCCTTACTATTATTTGATAAGATAACTTTCTTTATGTTATCTTGTTATCATCAAATAGGGGGAGATTGTTGATCCTCTCTCTCAGTGATTTGATGATAATCACTTTTCCCTTTCACGTTGTATTTGTGTTTCTGTATTTTCAGTTCCAGCGATCATCACTGAGTATATTCAGTGATCGCTAAAGAACTTGCATTGTGAATTCATCAGAGACAGCAATACTTCAATAAGACAACACTCACACCAAAGAACCTTCAGCAAACGTCGAAGACTGAAACTGAAGATTAGAGACTTGCGAGTACGTGATCTGTAGCGATATTCAGTGATTACAAGTCTGTTTACATATGTGTGAAGACTGCTCTAGCTTCATCGAATGATGATGAGACCTCCAGGTCATTCCAGCATTCAGCGATCAAAGGAAGCTTGCTTAGCATGATTGTTGTTGTCTTGTCCTTATGCACACAAAGGACAAACCCATACCCTTGCAAAAGTTAGTATGGTACGGAGCCGATTAGTCGACTCTTTGTCCACCAACTTTAGGCAAGGATGTCTGCTCATAAATTGTGCTTTTGTACTATTCACTGTAGCAAAGGACAAGCCTTCCTCTTAAGGCTTGGCACGCACTCTAAACCTACCATATTGCATTAAATGAACATTTAATGCACTGGGTATAAATAGAAGTGTTTCTTCTCCATGCAGAGAGCACGCATCTCTCTCTAACCCTATTCTTACTTCAAGCAACTTCTAGCTTAAGTAAATGATCTTCCTTTTAGCAATCTCTTTTCTTGTATTTGCTAAAGATCTGTGTGTAACCAATGATTGTTTAGATAGGTTTTCATTACCTTATCTTTCCGCAAATAGTCTTGTAAAATCTGTATTGATCTTCTCTATCAATATGTATTTTAAATTTGAAAATACTGTATTTGTATTCATCCCCCCCCCTTCTACAAACTGTTTCTATTCTTGTAGATCCTTATGGGACCAACGTGTATTCTGTTTACAATAGGCTGATACCCCGTTCAAGAAGAGGGCACAAACTTGTCAGAAACCTAAAATCTCCCACACGGCCTTCTCCACAATATAAATACTTGGAGTCACAATTATGCCTTTGACATGCAATATTCCAGCATTTGAGCTTGCTTTCTATTGTAAACAAGTACCAAAGGGCTCCAACTACCTGTCCACAAAAATTCTTTCTTACCGTTACCAGTATATCAATATAGATACATTTATCACGATTCAGTCATAATACTTTTACCACCATTCTGTCATGAATGAGCATAAAATCTTTGATATACTAACTCTTGAAGCTTCACCAGTTCTCATACAAATTGTCTTATTCTAAGGGTTTATCTGGTTATTAGCTCAATAGTTGCTTTATGCATTCACGTTCCACTTTGTTAGTCCCTTGTGTATAAAACTGGATTGGGAAACGTTGGAGCAGCCGTATCTATGGGGGTTGCTATGTGGTTAAAATGTTTGATTATTTAAAATGTTTTTCTGTATTTTGTAGATGTATGATGTCTCTTGTAGCGGTCCATATTTCTTACATGATGATTTATATTTAGATCGGATGCAATCGCCTCAAGAACTTGAATCAACGAAAACTGAATCAAGTGCAAACACATCAAGAATGGAAAGTACTCCTGAAATGGTTGTTATCGGATCAAATGATGGAGACGACATTGTAGCAGCCGTTGATGGTGGTAGAGAACAGACCAGCATAGTCAACAATGAAGAAACTACTCCATATGCTAAAAGGAAAAGAAAGAAGACTTCAGGAGTTTGGGAACATTTTTGCTTGGTGAAGTTGGCTAATGGAACTGAAGTTTGTGAGTGCATCCATTGTGATGAGAAGATAAAGAAACTTAAAGATGGAACCACCACACCATTGCATAGGCATATTAGTGATTGCCCAAAGTTAAAAGCCGTCAACACCATTCATCCAGGTCAGTTAAAGTTAAAGGTTGTGCCGGGGAAATTAGATTCTTCTATGGTCTAAAACTGGAAATTTGACAATAGTAGGATTAGAGAGGTTGTTTCTCACATGATTATGGTTCATGAGTTGCCATTTTATTTTGTTGAATATGAACTATTTAATGTGGTTATGAAGGAAGCTAACCCCGGGTTTAACAAGATTTCACGTACATCGGCTAAGCAAGATTGTGTTGCTAGTTATGAGATAGGCAAGAAAATGTTAAGCGCTGTCAATCGTGTGAGTATAACCACTGATATGTGGACGTCGGTGTAAAATATTCATTATATGGTTGTTACTTGTCATTTTGTAGATTCTGATTTCAATCTTAACAAATGCATATTGAGTTTTGTTGATGTACCACCACCTTATTCTGGACTATGTATATATGATTCCCTCTTTAAGTGTTTAAAAGAGTGGAATATTGAGACAAAGTTTGCTACTTTGACGATTGACAATGCTACAACTAATGATGTGGTGGCTACAAAGTTGATGGAAATTATGAATTTTCAGAAAAAGCTTGTTATTGGGGGGAAGTTATTCCATGTGCGGTGTTGTGCACACATTCTCAATTTGTTGGTTCAAGATGGTTTATCGGAAATTAAAGACATTATTCACAATGTTCGTGAGAGTGTAAAACACGTGAATGCCTTTCCGGGTCGATTGCATATATTTAGCGAACTTTCCAAGCAAATGACCTTATCAAAGAAGCATTTGATCTTAAATGTTAGTACCCGATGGAATGCTACGTATGCTATGTTGTCTACGGCCTTGGAGTTTAAAGAAGTGTTTGTAAATTATGCCGATCGAGAATCAACATACAAGACCTTGCCGACCTCGGAAGAGTGGGACAAAGTTGAAGTTATTTGCTCATTCTTGGGGCTTTTCAACGAGGTTACAAAAATAATTTCAGGTATTATTAATTTTCTTTATGGTTTTCATTATAAGTCATTTTWTCRAAGCTAATCACCTAATTCTCATAGAATTTTATTTACTTCTTTTATTTTATAGGCTCCGAATATCCTACCTCTAATTTGTTTCTTAGTGAGTTGTATAGAATTAAAGAAGCATTAGATGATTTGTCTTTAGATGAGAGTAAATATATGAGAGATATGGCTCTCAAGATGAAAAAGAAATTTGACAAATATTGGGGTACTTGTAATTTGCTGATTTTCATTGGTGCTGTTTTAGATCCTAGATACAAGATGAAGTTGCTTGAGTTCTCTTTTAGTTCCATTTATTCAACGGATGAGGCACCTAAGCAAATGAAAATTGTGCAAGATACTTTTACTAAAATGTTTCAAGAGTATGTTGAACAACATAAAACGGCTAATGTTGTCCAAATGAGTAGTGCACCTGACAAGAGTGAAATTGGAGTTAAGAGTGGTTATAACAAGTTAAGTTCTAGAGTTGGTATCAAGAGTGGCACGACAAAGTATGATCAACATATCAGAAGCGCTGACACTTTTGCAAGTGTGAAGTCAGAGTTAGACATTTATTTAGAAGAAGGCGTGTACATTGGTGATTCAGGTGCATATTTTGATGCCTTGGAGTGGTGGTAGGAGAAAAATCTAAAGTTCAGAATTTTGTCTAAAATGGCTGCTGATGTTTTGGCAATTCCAATAACTATTGTTGCTTCAGAATCAGCTTTTAGTGTTGGTGGAAGAGTTATCGATGCTCATCGCGCCTCTTTAGGGACGAAGACGGTAGATATGCTCATTTGGGGAGCTGATTGGTATCGTCATCATTATGGACTACACAAAAAAAAAACCAAGGTAATTTGCTTAATCTTATCAATTATGATACTTGTTTTCTTATGATAACTAATAATTATTTTGTTTGTTTGTTGTAGGAAAACTGATGATATGATATATATATATATATATATATTGAACTTCCATGAGGTTACAACTGACAAATGATGATAAGAGGATTGTTTTTTTTGTTCAAATGATGATGGTGATTTATTTGTTTTTCGGTATATTAATGATGGTTGATGAATGATTATTGTTTTGTGTATGTTTAAACTATGGACAATTGGTGTGTAATAGTTAACTGAATGACAAATAGTGGTGTTCGTTTATGTTTGTTTATGTTCATTTATGTTTGTTTATGTTCATTTAGACCTGTTCGTTTATATTCGTTAGGCCTATTCATTTATGTTCGTTTAGACCTGTTTGTTCGTTTACGTTCATTTAGCATGTTAACGAACGAACATAAACGAACACGAACACACCTTATTTCTAAACGAACGAACACGAACACAATGATTTTCGCTCGTTTACCGTTCGTGTTCGTTCGTTTGTTCGGTTAAGTTAAACGAACAAACATGAACAAACCTTCGTTCGTGTTCGTTAGGTTCGTTTACATCCCTACCAACCGATGAGTCCTCACTAATTCTTGTGAGTTCTTCATCACCTCCTCAACAACCACCCTCAACCTCACAACCAGAAGCACCCATTCCCTTTACTCCATCACTAACACCACCCCCATCACCAACACAAGAACCCTCTATCACCCAACCATATATAAGCCAATCAGAACCCACACTTCCTCACCAGAACCTACACCACCCCAAACAGAACTATCACCTAGCCAACTAGAACCACCCACTAGCCAACTAGAACCGCGCACAATCCAACCTACCCAACCAACAGTGCTTGCCGACATTTCCTCTTCCTCAAGGAAACCTCCATCAATCGATAGAGTGCAGAAAGTCATTGCACAGATGGAGACCCTAAGGAGACTTCCAGAGGTGCCTCCAAGAGAACCTGTCATGATGGAGAACATCCATCGGTACCTGTACCATGATCGCAATGAGCAGATAGTCCTTAATCCTCCCAACCTATCTCCAGAATCCATGGACTTGCTCAGGCATAGGTTTGTAAGGCAGACAACTCAACCTTCATAGGCTGTCTTTTCAAACGATGGAATAAAGACGGTCCATGACATCAAGTTGCGGACCTTTGCAAATAAAGCCATCAATTATATCGAGTACACCGTGGATGCTCATGGGATGATCTGCGTCTTCAATGACAATGATCTTATAAATCTCAATCCATGGGACTTGATAGACTTGTATGGGCATACCATTCAGCGCTAGGATCATGGGATCAGATATGGGATGGCGCAGCGAGCGATCATAAAGACGAAGGGGACTCTTGTGAAGTTCAGAGCAAAGAACAATTTCCAAATAGCTCTAGAGCTTGGCATCGATAGAGTCTCCTGCATGACTCTGAAAGAAGACTTTTCTGGACTACAGGAGAAGCGCTCTGCATCAGTCTTGACTAAATCGGAATTGGGCTTGGTCTTCAAGAACGAGTTCGGGACCAAGAAATTCTTCAGACTGACTGAGGCCTTCAAGTATTTGACAGATACACTTGAATGGTTTCAAAAGGTTATTCAAGAGAGAGGTTGGGCAGAGAGCATGTGCTGAGTAAAGAGAGGCAGGAGTTGATTCATGGGATCTCCACAGTCATCCGCTACAGAGGACTGATGATGCGCTTTTGGAAAATATTCAATGGAGACCATAACTGAGATGTAATTTTTCTTATCCCTTATTTACTTCCATATTGTATGAAACTATCCAATTTTCAGAAAATAAAAACTTTTGACAAAAGGATGTTTCTACTAGCTTAGTCTGTGTTCATTGCTATTCATTTATGTTTCATAGATAGCTTTTGTTTATTTTTCATTACTTAGGGGAGATTGTTAGACCCCATAATTCTTATCGTAAAAGTAATGAAAAATGTACAAGTATGGAAGTCTGGAGGAGCGATGGAAGAAGAGTTGCAAAAGTTTCTAAGTACTTGAAAGCAAACCGGAGACATGATTAATGGTCTTGAGGTGCGATGAACAAAGCATCTCCATTACTCCTTTGGTTCACAACACTTAAGAGATTCATCAAGTGTTCAATCAGATATACCCAAGTGAAGCAGAAATGTGAAGAATCCTGGTTGAACATACTACCTAGAAGACAGTTGGAGATGACTTATCGACAGTTGGAATTCTGTTACACAGGGTAGTTAGAGATAATTCCATAATTCTAGATAGATATATTTTCCTAGTTTATCTCATAAATATTTTTTACTAGATTGTTATCTCTTAGACTAGATTGCTAATATAAATAGCTTTCACATGTCTTGTAAAATAAGTATTCCTTCTCATTACAATTATTATAGTGAATTTTCTTGAAGCTTTATATTCCCTTGAATATCTTATAAGTTGTTCTTTACTAGTCTTCATAGATACGATAGATTTAGGATCAATAACATAAATCTTCGTGTTATATTGAAAGATCTGGGATCAACAACTATGAAGCCGAAAGCAAACATAAAGAGGTGATTATCTAGGGTTAGTGGACATGGATGGTGTTGTACCACACGTTCCTCTATATGCAAAAACATCAGGGGCATGGGTATTAGAAGGGTACATGTCTTGGGTTTTTTATATTTCAAATCATATTTGTTTTGATGTGAATATAACATTTAGGATATATATCAATAGTTGCAAATCATATTTGTAAGAGTTGGATTCACTCCAACACAAGTTGTGATTAGAAGGTCGAAAATCCAAGTTTGATTACAAGAACAACGACTTTTACATTATCGGAGAAAGTTATGCAGGGATAGAGATCATGTCAAATATCTATATCGAACACATTCTAAGCTCCATAATATCTTCAAAATACTCTTTCATGACGATCTTTTAAGGTAGCAAAGTTGAGAGAACGTACCTAGATAATGCCCTTCACGATTGGCGATTGATCTACAGTGCACCTATCCCCTTTTGCTTCTACCCTTCACGAGTCACGACCACCAGTCGACCAATACGTGAAACTTGACCTAGAGTTTCCGAGTTAGAACTTAGAAGACAACCCCAACAAAACCCTCTTAAAGAGGCCCAATATTAAAAGGCCAAAACCCTTTTAAAAGCCCAATACTTAAAAAGGTTTTAAAAATTTGAATTCAAACTAAATAACTAAAAATTATATATTAAAATTAATATATAAACGAACATAAACGAACGAACGTTCATGAACATAAATGAACGAACGAGACTCTTGTCCATGTTCGTTCGTTTAACTAAACGAACAAAATTTTTTGTTCATATTCGTTCATTTATTAAATAAACGAAAATAAACGAACATCCCGCCGAACAGTTCGTTGAACGTTTGGTTCGTTTACAGCCCTAATCGGATGCACCACATCACATTATTGGGCCTATTAAAACATTTGATTACTAAATATGGTTCCCTCATTGTTAAATACTAATGAATATGATGCATTTGATTATTGAATATGGTTTCATCATTGTCCATTGCTTTTGCATACATAGAAACGACGGATGAAAAACCCTAAAAAACATAAAATGGTTGCATTAAAGAAGATATTCAGCCAATCATTGCCAAAATGGTACCAACTAAAATAATAAAACCACCACTCTCTGTGTATATTCTTGGGATCATGTGATATCAGATTGTTTTCGTGAAAACCGTGAAACCACATACATAACATTGGACATTCACAACAAAACACTATACGATTGTTTACTATGAAGGTTCAGTTTTTTTTGTACCTTAACAATGTTTTGCTATGAAGTTTCAATATTATTTTGTGATCTTACGGAGGTGTGTGAGAAGCCTAAAAAGGGATTTGAACATTTGATCACTTTTAATCTCATGTCCATCCATGAATTGTTATTTAGAAGGGAATTAAGGTGCACCTCATTAGTGTTGGCCTTTAATTAAGATTGACTCAAGAATGAAGATCTATTTTTATGCTTCTTACCATAACTTCTTTCTTATTGGAACCCAATCATATATACATATATATATATATGTATATATAAATGTATATATACATATACCATTGGAACCCAATCACATATATATATATATATATGTAAATGTATATATACATACGTATATGTATATATACAAATGTATGTGTATATATATGTAGAGGAGGTTTACTTTGCAAATCATGTTATTTGTATAACCGTACTAACTTCATTCAACCAATAATAATTTTTCATTTTTTTATAATTATAAAAGATTCATTAATTATTTTTATTGTGGAGGGTGTTAATCATGTATATTATCATCTTCATTATATTAATTATAAAGAAAATATATGAAAGAATTTCATTAAAATTTCATAAGTATTATATGTAACAATTTCATAACATATATGAAACAACTTAATTTAGAATTGTATTATATGTAACAATTTCTTGAAACAAAATTATTAATAAAAGTAGTTTACACGGTTTGTACAAATATAGGTGATTTGTATTTAACCGCTCCTCTATGTATATGTATATATATACATACATATGTATATGTATTATGTATATATGTGTGTGTGGAATAGATAGAGAAACTAGAAAAAGACAAAAAATGGGAAAACCATGAAAAAACGAACCAGCAATTGACATGAACAACGATTCATATTTCACATATGCTTTACAAATTGATTGCAAGCTAATCAAGACTCAATAGCCTGTGATCTCCCTTTGGTTCACCACAGACCAAACACACAGCAACTGAAATTAACACCCA